GCAATGCGGCAGATGGCTATGAAGCTGCAAGAAAAATGCGGTTAGTTTTACTAGCACCTGTGGCAAATTCCTCTCAGAGGTCCTCCCACAAGGCTTGTGTTGTACAAGATGATGCAGAAGGAACAGGAGGAAGGAGATGGTTGTGTCATATGTTCCCCCGGGGCTCGCCACTTAAAAAAAAAAAGTTAAATATTTTTATTTTGGGGGTTTTTTTTTTTTTTTTTTTTTCCCATGCCGTCTCATCCTGATTATAAAAATTCCCTTTTCTATTGGATGTGTCAAAATGTAGCGATTGCATTGCCAAAGTGTCTGTGCTCTCAAACAATGTAGACTTTTAGTGTTTCTGCCAAAAGTAGCAATAAGGGTTTAGTCAAATATTGAAGCTTCTGCGGCAATAAACAGGCTGGGAGGCAGTTAGGGAGCTGGGAAGGGGCTGTACTCTGGGCTGCTGTTTTGGTGTAGCCATGGACTACACCGACACCTCTAGAGTCTTTCCGTGGTTATGAGCAAGAGCAAATTTGGCCATTATAGTCCATTACCTCTAACACAAATACAAGTATTTTTTAGTTTACTGTGTTTTCTAGGATAATGATTTCATGTTTAAGTGTAATTCAGTTCAGCTTGTCCTTGCAATGAAGGCTCTCCAAAAGCTTTGGCAGTAATTAGGCCTCTTGATAGGTCCATCAGGTGAAGCTTGGCACATTTGGCAGCTGAGAAAAAAAAAAAAAAAAGAGGAGTAAAAGGAGCCCATGGGAATAAATCTGCCTGAGGCCACAGAGCACGGACCAGGTTTGTGGCAGAACTGGGATGGGGATGCAGAGCCCTGACTCCTAATGGGCTCTACTAATTGGGGACCCATGGGGCAGCCTGTATGGACGCTGCAACTCCCAATTAAAGGTTTAACTAAGAGCAATGGGGTTTGTATTTTCCCCTTTCCATATGAGGACTTATAGCAACTGCTTTTTAGGAGGCACTAGTGCAGGCAGTGGTGAAGGAGCTGGCTGCCCTTGCTCACCACGTCCAGCCGTTAAAGATGATAAAAACAGTACAATTGTGAGTCTGCTCCAAAAAGAGCACGTAACTCTAATAATGTGCCTTTCCAGCTGGTTCATGCACTCCAGTGCACGGTGAGGTAACCGAAATCCAGGGCCGGTTTCCCTGGGCATTGGGTAGGGAGGCTGCTTCCCTTACTGCTCTCCTGCTTCACCAGGGTGTCACTCCCCGTGTGTTCATTCCCTTTGTGGTAGTTTCAGGGTTTTGTGCTTCAATCTACACACATACATTTCAGGGACCCTGTTACTGGTGACTGCAAAGCCTTTGGGAATGGCAGGGCCATAGAGAAGTGACTCCAGATTTGTGCATCGGATGCAAGGCTTAAGTTATACATTACTAGAGTAGTAATAACATACTACTGGAGTGGAAACCTCTCTGCTTTGCCACATGGTCAGGAGCCTCTGACTTGCAGAGCAGACATCTAATTACCCAGTTCCCATTTGGCTTGGTCTGGGGCTTGTATTTGTGGCAAACTTGGATGCTGGGGATGTGTAAGAGGGTTTAACCCTGCGTGGGTAGGATGTGTTGATGCCAGGGATGAGAGGCTCCTGTCAGAATAAATTGGCTGTGGGAATCGGGGGAGCCTCTCTGGTAGATCCCAGCTGTGAATCTCCCCTAGAATGTTTATATTTGTCTTATTTCCTGAGCTTGTGAGCCAGGGAATTTTGCTGACATTGCTCAGCAGCTTGAGCCTTGCCCATGGCTTCCAGCAGATCCCTATGTGCTCGCCTCATCCGCAAACTCTTGTGTTAAGAAGCTGGTGGCACCCTCCAACCAGGCCCGGGCCCGTCACCAGCTCGGCTGTCCCTTCTGGCTGGCGCAGGGGATGAGTTGGGTTTCTCTCCCAGTGAAGGGAGATCTCCCCGTGAGGATCCCAGGGTGGTTCAGGTTATACGGGAGCATGTCCGTGCTCACAGGGACTGAGGAGCAGATGTGACTCTGCATCTGGATCTCCTTGACCAAGGCACAGGCTGTGCTAACAGTCTGCATCTGCACTCTGTGGGACGGTAACAGATAGCGTGTTGGGTCTGTCTTCCAGCCGACAGGCAGGACAGAAGGCAAACTGTGTCCCAGCCATCGGTGCGTGGTGAATAAAAGTTGGCTTGAAAACTTGCAGCACACTACGAGGCAAATTGCAAAGTACGGCTGGAGCGAGGGACCCCGGCTGGGCTCGTAAACCCCGGCTGGGCCAGAGGGTCCGTCTGAGGGACCCCGTCCCCCAGACCCGGGGCCGTGCCAGAGCAGAACACGGGGAGGGCGGGAGGAGCCGCACTGGGAACCCATTTTGTGCTGTTATAAAGAGGCAAATCCCACCGCTCTGACTGCAGCAAAGTCACGACGAGTGCAACAGAAGTTTACTTAAGTAAAGAGTGAGTAATATATAGGAATATATGTACATATATGTGCGTGCATGCAAAGGTCTTCAGGATTTAGCTGAGTGTTCACACATTCCCTAAGCCAATAACATCCGTTGTTATGGGAAATGAGGTAAGTGACAGAATTACTGTCCTTATGGCGGGCGACAGGCAAGTCTGAGGTTCCCAGGCTGTAACTCCCCTTCCAGTCCCTGCAGCAACAATAGCCTGAGAGAGGGAGCACGAACAAAGAGTGCTCAGTTCTATTTGAAGATTTCATCTAAAAAACAGTTGGGTTCAGATGAGACTCAGGTTGGAGAACAGTAGAAGACCTGTGTCCGTAGCTGTGGTCCTGTGCGCAGCGAGCCCTTCGGGGTGCCCTGCTCTGACCCCCCCCCGCTTAGAGCAGCCGGGCAGTTTTGGGGCGATGCCGATTAAAGAGCTTTCTGTCCCACCGAAGCCCCCGAGGGAGGCACTTGGCGGCCCGAGCGGTGCCGTAGGTGCCCGCCGGGCCCCGCAGCCCCCGCCCGGCTCCGCGCCTCTCCGCGGGGAAGCGCGGGGCGCGGAACCCTCCGCAGCCGGGGCCGGCCCCGGCAGAGCCCCCGAGGCGGGGGGGTGTGGGGTGGGGGGGAGCACCCTCCGCGCTGCCCCGCGGCAATGACACCCCCTTCTCTCCCTCTCTCTCTCCCTCCCCGCAGCCTGCGCGGCCGCGGAGCCGCCGCTGCGCTGGGAGCCGCGGTGCCGGCAGCAGCTCCGCCACCTGCGGGACGGCGGCGGGATCGCGGCGCGGCTGCCCCCGCGCCTGGAGGGACGATGGGTCTCCACCGGGTAAGGCACCCCCAAACCCTCCGGAAGGGTACCCAAACCCCGCGGACCCCCCGCAGCTCCCCCCCCAAGGCCACGCAGAGAGGGGCCGCGCCATCGCCCCCTCCCCACGCCCCCCGCCCCGCCGGGGAAAGGCCGAGGTGCCCCCGCACCCCTCTTGGAGCCCCCCTGCCCCTTCCCACCCGGCTCAGCCTTCATCCCCCCCCGCACTCCTCCCGGGGGCGGGCCCGAAGCCCGGGACCCTGCACGTTTCGGGAGCGGGTGCCACGTGCGGCCACTGGTGCGGGAGGCTCTTCCCCGCGATGCTGCTCCCGCCCCGGCTCCCCCGCACCCCGGGAGGGGTTTCACCCCGCAAAGCCCCCGCCAGGCGCCGCAGGGGGCTCACATCTGCCTCCCCCCCCCCCCAGG